ACTTTTTTTTTTTTTTTTTGTGCTGCTGGAGAAGATACCTCATGCACCGCCAGCCCTTACTTTATCCCCGAAAGCCAGGGTGAAGTGCACGCACAAATGCACAAAGCCTGAACAACAGCTTGACAGATGAGCACGTCAAAAGAACAGACACATCCCAGCTCCATCCCCCAGCAGACAGCATTCTGAACCCAGGCTCCAAGGCGGAAAGCCAGGAGCATTCTCCCTCCCTCTCTCCCTCCTGGCAGGTAACTGGATTTTTCTGCTTGCCCTGCACCAGGATAATAAGGCTTCACCAAGGGGCTGGCAAAGGTAGAGAGCGTTGGTGAGCACTTCAGTCACTTCCACAGCGCTCAGACAGAAAAATGAGAGGCAGCAATACTGATTTGTAACGAAACTGACTTTTATATAAATTATAAACCCATCCAGTTTAAAGCAGATCAGTTGCAGTTGTGTCACTTAAGTCCGTAGAAGGCTGAGGCAGACATATCTCCTACAGTCATAAATTAACAATGAATAATCAAGGAGGAGAAAGTTCAGATAAGGCTGCAGATACAACAACAACCAAAAAATCCCCTCTAAGATTACTAGCGGTTAAAATAAAGTCATGATTATCAACGACTGCAAAATATAAATGCAATTTTTGAACAGTTAAAAAGTACAAAAATGATGGGCAACATAAACAAGCATTGTACATATTGTCCTGTATGTAGACAAAGCAGGGGAGGAGACTTCTGACCTTTATCTACATTGGACAGATTTGAAGCAAAGAGAAGAGCTGAGGAAATCTGTCAAAGGATCGTGGCTCATGATCCCAGTAGTATAAAAGCAGTATTTTTTCAGTCTGTAAACAGTAGTCTTGGTAGCTTCTTCTAGGTATGTTTTTCAATTAATTACCAAAAAAAAAATAATATCTGAAACAAACAAAAATCCCAAGAGTGGAAGAGGGGGAACAGCAGCAATGGGTTATAGGTTAAATTTCCTTATCAGGTCCCTGTGGGACACATTCTGGAGGGGAAATGCTCTTTTGTAAGAAATATATAATATATTTAACTGTACACAATTTATAGGGGGAGAGAAGTCCTCCCTCTCCCTAGCCGCCAAACAGTCAGTACGTAGTCATTTTTGTACACCGTTTCCTCCTATAGAGAAACTACAGCTGTGAAGAGATGGCATCTGGTTTTATAAAACACCGAGTAATCCACAATTTTTATTTGTTTGACAAGCTCATCGTTTGCCAGTGGCTGGAAGTGGAAAGGGGAGAGCAGCTAACACTGAAGCGGTCGGTATTCCCGTGCTGCCCGGAGGGACCAGCCAAGGCTGGGCCTGCGCCGTGCCAAACGCTGCGACAGGAAGCGAGAGCGAGCCATGGTTCCATCCTCTCTGGGGCTTTGCTTCAGATGACACACATCCACACACCCCACACCCCCCCCAGCAGTTTCAATTCTGCTTTTAAGGGAGCTGGTGCAGAAAAACTTTTTTTTTTTTTAAGCAAAGTTCTGCTTTCAGGCACATGGGAGGATTTAAAAAGCTTCGTTACGTTAACCTTACACTTCACTTACATTTTCACCATTGCTTATTGATACGACTGGTTGAGTTCAACCTGTTGTAGCAGCAGGTGGAAGGAAACTCCAGTGTAACTCAGCCCCTGCGCTGTCCCCTCTGGATGAGGCTCTGTCAACTTTACATCCAGGGCTGGTGGCTGCACTGCCACGGGGCAGGGAGGGGGCAGGAACCTCAGCACTAGCCGTTTGCCTCTGAATGACAAGGGACAGTGCAGACTTCTGGCTCGTACCGCAGCACCTCAGCAATGGGACTGTTTCCACTTACCCTACACATTGCAAAGCATCAACTCAGCCATCAGTCTTGCTTTAATTTAAGGAGCGCACCCTTCTTTCAAAAAAAAGTATTTCTATACAACATAGAAGAGTTCAGTTGTTGGTTTGTGTTTTTTTTCTTTTTTTTTGTTTTTTTTTCTTTTTTTTCAGGAAAAGTATTACTATAAAACAGACTTAACACATTTTGGTATTCCTCCAGCCCAGAGCACTTACCAGACATTGCAATTAAACCATCAGGACATCCATTACAATTTAGACAACCTGCAGACATTCTTCTTTCCCTTTCAGGATGGGGCAAAGCAAAACTAAATCCAGCAAGAGCAGCTATGTGTATTATTATTTTTTTTTTTATACAGGGGATTTATTTTAAAAAAATACTCTCATCAACATTCTAGCATTACTAACAAAACATACTCAGAAGAGATGACAAAGGTAGGATTGTCAGCTCTTAAAACTTTAAATATAGTCCTCAGATACTAGCTGCTTTAAATCAGAAGATGAGGAATCTTTAAAGTTTGACCTGTCCCTTGTATTGCAGGTACATGTACCTTTTTTTTTTTTTCCCCCAACGAATTTTAGGCTGCATTACTCCTTTAAAATGAAAAAAACCCAGCAGAAATGCAGATTCAGTAGGAGCAGATGATGCGATTGCATTTTCTACCAGAATGCCTAATGAGCTAGTACTTGAATAATGAAAGATCAACTGCAAAAAGCAAGCATACAGTTACAAAAAGTATTCTCAGTCTCATACCACAGCGGAAGCAAAAGTTACCTCTGCCAACTTAAAACCAAAGCCAAGAGGATTTAATTTCTATTAAAATATTTAAGTCTTAAAGTTTCAGTAATCTAAATACACTTTTAAAAAGTCATGATGATTGCTGTTTTACATTTAACTGACACGAAATCAGACTGCAGTGTCATAGATTTCACTGCACCTATTATATACAAGGTCTCTGGTCTTTTTTTTTTTTTTCTGAAACACTGATTCCCATCTCTAGTTCTAAAGCTTAATGGCCAAGTTTGCTCCTCATCAGGTTTGCAAATTTTTCCCCAACGGTGAAAACAACCTGTGTGTACACCGACAGCACCTCTTCCCTCCTGCGAGGGAGGGCTGGGCTCTGCTGGCAGGCTGGACACGGAGGGGGCTGCCCCCAGCCCAGCCTCGCCTCTCCCTGCTCCACCAACACACTGAATTCAGTCAGTGGGACCAGGTGGCTCGCAGACAAAACAGGCAGCTCCAAAACGGGCTCATTTCACCGGAGATGGCCGAATGCGGGCATCTACTATTTCTGCATTTCTAAGGCAAGGACCATACAAAAATTATAAACACTGTATGGTGATGAAAATACAACTCCTTTGAGATATATGCTTTACACTGGATTTCTATTGCTGCTTCTAAAGACCATCTCCAGTTGTTTCTAGAGATCAAAAGGGAAGAAAGTTAATTCTCTCCTGTTGCAATAAACTTATGAACATGTATAAAAAGTGGTCAAACCCCGATAAGGGTCCCTGCTTCTCATTTATGTACAATAATTTAAATCACCTCAATACAACTGTAATACCTAAAAAAATTGGTTTATGATTTTAAGTCCTTCATGCATTATGAGGAAGTTCTGGATTAAAGTGATGGTATATTGGATGTTGCTTCTGCCTGGGACTCTGGTGTCACTCCCCTGTGGAGTCTGTCAAGGACGCAT